GCCCCTCCTCTGGTGTGAGGTTCAGTTCCAACACAGGTCTGCTCCTGGGCACATGTGATATTTCTATGAGCAACTGCTCGTTCCCCTAATTTCTCAAAGATATTCATTTCCCATACTCAAGTCCTGTGTTCCTGTGCATGACTCCTGCTGAGGCCCTAATGTCATGTGGACACAATCAAAGCTTTCTAAGAACCCTCTTGTTTTGGTGCCACCCACGTTCTACTTTTTGGCTTCTCAAATGGGTGCCCAACCTCAGGAATATGCTGTGACCAGCATCACTCATATGCTGGCAGGGGCCCCAAGTGTCTCCAAGCCAGTGGACTGTCACTCAAGGAATGTGTTTCTGCAGCTGGACGTGGAGCCCACAAGAGCTCAGATTCCTAGGATCCCCCTCCAGGGGCTCAGGGAGGGGCTTATAAGAAACTGATCAGGTCCCAGAGTGAGTCCTAGCCACATAATTCCTGTCCAAGGGCCAGGATGCCTGAGATCTGAACCTCAGGGATGGCAGGTGGGTGTGACATGAGGCCAGCTCAGCAAACTCTGGAAGCTGAAGACACAGCCTGCGTCGTGGATGGAGTAATGTTCTAGGAGCCAGAGCTGTGGGCCTCTAATTACATGAGGGACTGTGGGTTGTGGTGGATGGTCTTCCAGTTGAAAGAGGTGGTCTTTCCAGCTATGACAGCCAAGCAAGAAGATTCTATCCTCTTTCCTCAGATCATTTTTCCAGATGAGTGCACAGAGGGAAACTGAGGCTGAGAACACCCTGCCCACCTCAGAATTCCCCGTGTTATTTTTCTGAGGATTCTTTTGGGCCTCCATGCTGTAGGCCTCCAGCTCAGAGAACAACCACCACCACCACACATATTCAGGACCACTGTGTGCCAGGCACTGTACTAGGTGCTACATGTGCTTCGCCTTTTCCCTGACAGCTGCCTTACAAGGTAGTTACTAGAAGGCCCATTCTACAGGCAAGGAAAGAGCCACAGAAAGATGGGATAACTTGCCTGAGGTCACATGGTAAGTGACAGAGCCAGGATCTTAACCCAGGTCTCCTGACACCAAAGCCCATATTCCCTGCCCTCCACCATATAACCTTTAATGTTGCCATATTGATGAGATAGTCCAGGGACTCCATGCCCATCTCACACCACACAAGTCATACAGGTGAGTCCAGGGAAGGAAGACAAGGATGGGGGTCCCCTTTCCAACACTTCTTCACCATATACCTGGGAGCCCGATCTCTCGGGTCCCTGAGCACATAAGGAGATAAAGGAAGAGTTGGTTCCACCAGCCAGAGAGCCTAGAATCTAAGGGCTGGTGGGCCTTGGTAGACTGGTCTCTGCACTGTGGTCCAAGGTCCTAGAATGTTCAAGCATTCTAGGAGAAAGTCCTTAGAGATGAGCAAGCTCCTTTCATGTGACAGGTGAGGGAAAAGACCCAGGAGGAGAACACGAATTGTCCAAAGTCACAGAGTTGGTTAGAAGCATTGTGTGTGCATGAGAGAGAGACATGTGTGTGTGCATGAGTGTGTGTGCATTAGTGTGTGTGTGTGCATGAAAATGTGTGTGAGTGTGAGAGTGTGTGTGTGAAAGTGTGTGTGAGTGTGTGCATGGGTGTGTGTGCATGAAGGTATATGCATGGGTGTGAGAGAGTGCATGAGTGCGTGCATGAGAGTGTGTGTGCAAGTGTGAGAGTGTGTGTGCATGAGTGTGTGCATGAGTGTGAGAGTGTGCATGAGAGTGAGAGTGCGCATGAGTGTATGTATGAGAGTGTGTGTATGAGTGTGAAAGTGTGTGTGCGTGAGAGAGTGTGTGTGCATGAGTGTGTGTGTATGAGTGTGTGCATGAGTGTGAGAGTGTGCATGAGAGTGAGAGTGTATATGAGAGTGTGTGTATGAGAGTGAGAGTGCGCATGAGTGTATGTATGAGAGTGTGTGTATGAGTGTGAAAGTGTGTGTGCGTGAGAGAGTGTGTGTGCATGAGTGTGTGTGCATGAGTGTGTGCATGAGCATGAGAGTGTGCATGAGAGTGTGTGTATGAGTGTGTGCATGAGTGTGAGAGTGTGCATGAGAGTGAGTGTGTGAATGAGTGTGACAGAGTGTGTGTACGAGAGTGAGAGAGAGTGTGTGTGTGTGTGTGTGTGTGTGTGTGTGTGTGTGTGTGTGTGCTTGCTGGGCTTAGCAAGGGGAGGCCTGACTCCCAGACCCTGTGCATGAGTTCAGGTGAGAAGGCTTTGCAGCTTCTATCTATATCCAAAGGGGTGGTCCACAAACAAGCCCACACAAAAGGCTATTTTTAAAATGTATTTTGTGTTAACACGAGTAGTCTATTTGGGACAAGGTGACTCCGGGAGGGCCTGTGGAGCGTGAGGAAACAGGACACAGGAGAGAAGAAGCCAAGGAAGGGCTCATTTGTGACCACGCCACTGCTTTGGCACCTGGGGCTCGATCCCATGGGGGACTTTTGGGAGCTGGTGTAGAATCTGCCTCAGAGTTGTTCCACCTGAGGGACAGGGGAGATGAGGAACGCACGCAGCAACCCCCATTGTCACTGGCTGAGCGCTGTGATGAGGGCATCAACTCCCTAGTATGCCTTGCCATGCACACTCCAGCAATCAAAGAGAGAAAACGACTCACCCTGAGTAGCCACCAGCTCCCTAAAGAGCCTCGAAAACCCTTTGGGGTGGGGAGGCTCTGGGCATCAGTGCAAGGACGGTCCAGAGGAGAGATGGATGAGACTGAATGCTGCCCCTGGGCCCAGGACGCAGATGTGCAGTGGTGGGGAAGAGTTATTTCCATGTGCTCTGAGGGAAGGGAGGGCGTGTACTATAGCAAGAGGGGTTGAGGTTAGATCTTAGAGAGAATTTCCTGGTGACACCAGGGAGAGAAACATGTCAAAGATGTCTAAGCTGCTTCCAGCCATGAAGCTTGATTGGCAGCCACACAAGAAATGCTGGGGCAGAGAAACATGCAGCAACAATGTGGAGGCCCTGTGGCCAGGGCCGGCCTGCGAGCTCTCCTGCATCTCTGGGGCGCAGAGAGTGCTGGAAGGACAGGTGGGAGGGCAGGTGGAGAGTGGGTGAGGAGGGCTCTGCGTGGCCCCAGCCTTGGCTGTTCCCCTGGCAGGACAAGTGCCGCTGTGCAGCCTGAGGCTGGGTGGGAGAAGCAGGAGGAGGCCATTCCTGGTGGGGCTCGGGGCATCGCTCGTGCAGCCTAGTCCTGGACAAACTAAGGCCCCAGGCTGCCTGGCCCCCGGCTCCCTGGCCCCCGGCTTCCTGGCCCCCTCGGCTCCCTGGCCCCTGGCTCCCTGGCCCTCCCGGCTCCCTGGCTCCGGCTGCCTAACCGCCCCCCCCCCGGCTCCCTGGCCCCTGGCTCCCTGGACCCCCGGCTCCCTGGCCCCTGGCTCCCTGGACCCCCGGATCCCTGGCCCCTGGCTCCCTGGCCCCAGCTCCCTGGCCCCCGGCTGCCTGTCCCCCCATCCCTGGCCCCCCTGGCTCCCTGGCCCCCCTGGCTCCCTGGCCCCTCCGGCTGCCTGGCCCCTGCAGCTGCCGCCACCCCCCTCCCCCCGCCCCCTCCTCCCCCCCGCCCCCCCCCCCCCCCCCCCCCCCGTCCCTGGCCACGGCTCCCTGGCCCCTGGCTGCCTGTGCCCCGCCCCTGGCTCCCTGGTCCCCCAGCTGCCTGCCCCCCCCACTGGCTGCCTGCCCACCCCCGGCTCCCTTGCCCCTGGCTCCCTGGCCCCTGGCTGCCTGCCCCCCCCCAGCTCCCTGGCCCCTGGCTGCCTGGCCCCCCCAGCTCCCTGGCCCCCAGCTGCCTGGCCCCCCAGGCTCCCTGGGCCTGCTCCTCATCTGTAAAAGCTGAGGAGCTGGAGGCTGTACTAGGTGACCTTGAGGTCCCTTCCAGGCCTGACCTTCTGCCACTGTCTGCTATAGAGGCCATCCCCTGGCCCCTGGGTTCTCCTCAGCACACCCAGCCACGAGCACTGACAGAGCACTCTGCGCTTACCCAGCACCAGGTAGGGAGACACAAACAAAGTGACACATAGGCCCAGTCCTCTAGGAAGGGCCAGACGGGGGCTGTTTGCCCACCGAGCACATACTGTGCTGAACACCTTTCCTCCTCACCGTGACCCGTAAGGCGGCGTCACACTGGCACCTGCATTGCACAGAGATGGGCACCAGGGCCCAGAGGAAAAGCAACCTGCCCACAGCAGCACAGTGGCAGGGCTTGGGCCCCAGCCTGTGCAGTCCACCACAAGGCGGCTCCTCCTCTGTGAAACGGACAGGGCCTCTCCAAGGACAGCTCCTGTGTTCTAGGAGACAAGTGTGAAAGCAGCCATCACTCAGGAAGGTTTCATGGAGGAGGTGGCTCAGCCCTGGGCCTCAGGGCAGGCAGAACATGGAGGCCGGTGGGAAGGGAGCAGCCGAGGGAACTCCTCCCTGGGTGGGCTGGAGACTGGCTGCTCCAGCCGGCGAGGTGGCCCCTTAGTGCAGGCAGGAGGGCCGCAGTCTGGCTCCCAGGGAGGAACAGAAGCTCCCCTGCACCCAATAGGGCAAGAATCCTCCTCCTCACTGACCCAGCCTCCAAATTGAGTCCACCCACTCCTGAGGGGCTTATGCCCGGACCAGGTCTATAGCTCCCCCCCCACTCCCCACAGACCCATCTGGGCCGTCAGAAGCTGGAGCTGGTTCAGGGCAAGGCTACTTCCGCCGGCTTCCTGAGCCAGTACCAGGGAGCAAGACCACCGATGAGTGTGACAGTGAACACTTGTGTATAGCAGGGACCATGAGCCAGGCATAGTCTTAATTGCCCCTCCTCCTTGCCTGGGGCTCTACCCTGCCATGACAGCCCTCCCTAGATACCCCAGCCAGTCCCTGTCACTAGAAAGGCCCATCACTCACTGGAGAGGCTAGCCCAGAAGGCCTCAGTTTCTCTGCCCCAACCCCACACCCACATGCACCCATCCCCCCTCCGCCAACCGAGCACCGTTGCCTTTTGTTCACAGTGATGGCTCCTACACCCAGGCCGGTGGGGGCATGGAGGACTCCATGGTGGCAGCGGCGGTGGTGGCACTCGGCAGACCCAGTATCCATGCCCTGAAGGCTCAAGACCTGGAGCTGCAGGAGGAGGAGGAGCAGCCAGGGGCGAGGGGTGCCTCCCTGAGGGCTGCCCCCCCCCAGGTGGCCTCTCCCGGCGGGCAGCAGCCTGCCCTGGCGACAGCGCTCTGCTCCCACACCCCTGCTGCCTCTGATTACGAACTCTCCCTTGACCTAAAGAATAAACAGGTACCCAGGGCCTCCAAGGGGGGTGGCGAGGGTGGTGAGGAGGCCCTGCCCTTGGGAGCTGACCAGGGTAACAGGTATCTCCCCACCTGGGCCCGCCTCTGCTGCAGGCACACCCCTTTTGCCACAGTTCTCTCAAATTGAGGACCTAATCTGCCCTTCCCTGCCATCCAGTTCCTGTGGGAACCAGCCACAGGCCACTGCCTAACTCCCACCATGGGCATCGCATAACAGGGCACACACCCTTGCGATGCCAGGCCCTCAGGCAGTATGTCCAGGGCCTGATCCTCTTGCAATGCACAGGAAGCCTAAGCTGCTCCCACCAGGCCCCTGGGCAGGTAGCCCATTGTTCTCCAGGGAAGTCCCGCCTCCACTCGCTGCTTAGAAGACTGAGCCCCGCCACATGCCCACCCAAGGGGCAAGCCTGAGACCTAGGCACACGTAGCCTGAGACGAGGGGCAAGGACTGTGGTCTCCTGGAGGTAACCTGCGGATTCTGAGATCAGTCGGATCCGGGAAGTGTGAAGCTCACCTGTTAGGGAACAACCCTTGGAGAGGCTCTAGGCCTCCACCTTCCCTTCTGTGAAGCACAGGGAGACAGGGCACAGTCATGGCCCCCGTTGCTCCCCTAGAGAGCCAATGCCTCAGGTTGTCTAGGTGGACAGTTAAGAGACCCAAAGGAAGGCCTGTGAGTGTGTGTCTGTGTGCGTGTGTGCGCTTAGAGAAAGACTTGATGGCGTGACGCCGTCAAGGGAGAGCTTCGAGCCTGGAGACACAGACATGAGATCCAATCCTGTGCTTCTTCTAATTAACCCTGTGGCTTTGGGGGAACCAGTTAAGCACTCTGGGCATTGGTTTTCTCATCAGCAAAAATGAATTAGACCTTGAATCACCTCCAAGATTCCTCGTGGCTCTAGAACGTGCAGGATCTGAAGATCCGCTCTTCAGCCAGCAGGCAAGGCGCATCTTAGGAAAGGAGATGGTCGGAAGCCCCTGAGACTGAGCCAAGCCGAGCTAGCCTCATTTTCCTCTTTGGGCACTGATGTCAAGCTGTTACCCTGGGTTGGGGCCAGCTGTAGGCAGTGCATCTGGCTCTCAGTAAAGTATTCAACCAAATCTCCAAAGATATCTATGTAGACAAGACAGGAATATGTGGATTGGACAAAAATATAGTCAGGTGGGTTGTTCTCAATCAGAATTTTCAAAAAAATAAACTTTGTTAAGTGCCAGTTCCTGGAGAGGTGAGTGGGGCACTGTCCTTGGTCTTGTCCAGGTCAAGCACTTTTACCAGGCACAGAATAAAGGCATAAAAGTTACATTTACCAGACTTTCTGTTGACATAAAGCTGAAAGAGAACAGCTAATACCTCAATGATGGAATCCAAGATTTTTAAAAATCCCTTCAGGACAGAAACATGCTTTAATTGAAAAAAAAGTCAAATGAAATAGGAAGAAATCTGAAGTTCTGCTCTTAGCTTTGAAAAGCCCAAAGAACTCGTATAAGAGGAGGGCTTCGGTTGACTATCAGCTCGGGACGAATGAACAACGGGCGCCGCAGCTGCCAGAGCCGGCGAGGGCAGCACGGCCCAGGGCAGGCAGCAGCCGCCAGCAGCCCCACACCGGTGACCGGCCAGGGACTGTCTGGATTCTGGGCTTGGTTCTAGGGGCTTCTTTTAAAAGGAAAAATGAGAATTCGGAGGTTCCTGAAGAATAGGATGGGCTGGGGTCAGATGAAGAAATTATAGGCAGGAAAATAACTTTTAAATCTGGAAGGGCTGGCATGTGAAAAAGGGATTTGATGTATTTACTATTATTCCAGACAAAAACAGTGGCACCAATGTACGACAGCTACAGGAAGGGAAGATTTTAGCTTAATCACAATGAGACCTGTTAACAACATAGGCGCCCTGCGTGTGCGGCAGTGGGTTGCCCAGGGGGCTGCGTGGCCGTCCGTCCAGTCACTGCGGTGGGATCCAGGACCAGCTGGCCAGGTGGCGAGTCCTCTCCATCCACGGGACTCCGCTCCTTGAGGACAGAGAGCACCCCTGTCCATCTGACTGTCCTCCCCCAGCATCTAGCAGTGTCCTGTATGGGCATAGTAAGAGTTCACTGAGTGAACACTTTTTAATAATTTTGATGTGCCAAGCAACAAGGGTGTGGTGCCAAGAGGAAAAAACTGTGCTCCTTACCTGGCCCCCAAAGAGACTACGGTTCCATGTAAAGAGTGTCCAGCCAGTAACACCGAGGACTCCATGTGGGCTGGCTCGGGTGGGAGAGGGAGTCTCCTCCGGCCTGGCGGGCGGGGCGTGCAGAGCTGCGAGGGCTCTGACAGGCTCCATGCGCTTTCCCGACATGGGTGTTTCCCTAAGGGAGGGGCTTGCTCTCAGGCCAGTGGGAGGAGTCGGGCGAGGTGAGGACTGGTGGAGGGTGTAACAGGGGCCTCTTGCCCAATGAGTCCAGCCTTGGGGAACAGCTGAGCCGTCCTGGCTCATGTATCTCTCTAGGCCAAGCACAGGCTGGGCTGGGAGGAAGAGGGCAAAAAGGGTTTGAAAACATGGCTCACATTTACAAGAGATTGAGTTCTCCTCCTCTCTCTTCTGCCAATGAGCTGTGTGACCCTGTGCAAGTTGCTTACTGTCTCTGGGCCTCAGCTGCTTCATGTATCCCTTTGGGGCTTCCATGTCCCCTCTGCCTCTATCTCTGCAGGTCCTACTCCCCCATCACTTCTGCCCTTGGCCTTCTCCGGCTTTAGGACTCACTTTGAGTGCCCCTTCCTCCTCTCAGGCAGCTCTCCCTGCCCTCCCGAGGCTGCATCCCTCTCCCCGTTTGCCGGCTCCTTCTTGGAGGCAGGTGTGTGACTCACTCATCGTTGCATCCCCTGCCCAGCACGGCACCTGGCATGACGAAGACGCTCCAAGGAGGAAAAGGGGAAACGATAACTCAGTGACATGGAGGGGTGGGACAGGCACAGAGCCTGGGGCCAGGACCTGACTCTGCCTTCAGGTCTCTTTGGCCCCATGGTTGCGCCAGCCGCACAACACCCTTTAGCCCTTGGACTGAAGGAGTCTCATGCTGCCATTGCCTCCCCAGCCCACCTGCCTGCCAGGCCTCCTCTGTTGGCCAGTCCAGAGCCCCAGACTGCTTCCTCGGGTTGTCTCTCTCCACCTCCGCTCTCGCCCCAAGGCCCCAGTGCCAGCTCATAACTGGCTCCCGAATCTCACCCTCTCTTGCCGTCCCTACTGCCCCTACTGAGACCAGGCCACCCTCCCCCCTGCTTGCTTGCACCCCATGGAGACCTCCAGTTGCTTCCCCTGCTTCAAGCCTCTTCCAGCCTCACCTGCATGTTTCAGCTGAGTCATCTTCATAAAGTGCACCTCTGATTGTGCTGTCCGCTGCATGGAACCTCTGATGGCTCCCAGGGTGTGCAGGACAAAGGCCTCTCCAGGCTCCCCTGCCACAGACCCAGCCCCCATCAGGGTTCCAGCCACTCCTGCTCGCCAGTCCCTGGAGGCTGCCTTAGGCTCAGGGCCTTCCTCTGCCGGGAATGCTCCCGCCTGTCCCCAGTCCTGGGTGACTCCTGCTCACACTTCAGGGCTCAGCTAAGACTGGGGCCTGGGCATGTGCGTTGACTGAGTGCCTAGCCTGCTCTGTGCTGTCTGGGAGCTGTCCCACCACCACCCGGGGGCAGGGAGGGAGCATGCAAATCCCTTTGGGGGCCCTTTAGGAAAGTGGCTGTGGCCAGAATATAGAGGCCCCAGGTGTGATTCTGAAATTCATTCATACTCTCTAGGGACTTTGTATCCTGTTGCTGAACAGACGTTTGGAGCCCGCCGTGGCTCCCCCGACAGCAGAGCTCTCTGGGCTGTCCACGCCAGGGTCCGTGGAGCCATGGTCAGTAGCATGTAGGCCCTGCTCCCCAAGTCAGTGCCCTAGGCAGAAGCCACATCCTCCTGGAGAGCAGCCCCTCCCAACAGACTCCCCCAGCCCAGGGCTCAGGGTCCAGCCTCACCATGGGGCCTCTCCCCAAGAAGTGAGGCCTACGTTTCCAAGTCACTTCCCCTCTCTGGGCCTCAGTTTCCTCCTTGATGAACTAAGGGGTTGCACCAGAGCGTCTCTAGGCTCCTTCCCACTCCAAAGGTGAGATGTCCACCTCAGGCATGGAGGACACCAGGGAGGCAGCCTGCCGAGGACGGGGGTGGGGTGTAGACCGCGTGCCACAGGGGATGCGCGTCGTCCATCGTTGTTCGGCTCAGAGAACGACTTGCACAGCTGCTCTCTCCTGGACCCTGGGCCTGGCCTGGGGATTCCACAATGCAGACGACAGTGCCAGTCCTCAAGGCACCCGAGTCCCGGCGGTGGGCACTGCCATGCATAGTGCCGGCCGTCCTGCCTGAGCGCTGAGCCCTGCCGGGCCGGTGCTGAGCACCTGCCGTGCGTCGTCTCCCCACGTCTGCACAGCGTGCCCGTGAGGCAGAACTAGAAGACTGAGGCTTAGTGACACTAAGTAACTTGCCCGAGGACACAGCCCTGAGAAGTAGCACAGCCAAGACCATCCCAGCTCCTCCTGCCATCTCTGGCGTTACAGCAGGGGTGGGCTCTGTGAAGCGGCACATGGGGTCTGCGGAGAACCAGGCAGGGCAGGCAGCCTGGCCTGAGCTTCAGAGCCTGCTCCTGGGGCAGCTGCCCGGGGCTCTCATGCCCTCAGTGCTGGCTGAGCCATAGCACGTGCCCTGCCCTACCCAGCCACGGTCAGGAGAGGTTCTGGGCAGGCCCCAGTGCCCCGCGTGTTGAGCCCCATCTGCATTCCAGACAGCAGGCTGGGAGGTGGCACACAGAGCAGGCACAGCACCTGCCCTCCGGGAGGCCACAACCCAGCCCAGGCCTGCCTCCCTTGGGGGCCACGCTAGGCACCCCCAAAGCTCCTCCCACCCCAGGCTCTCTGCTCCTCCACCTCACACCAGGGCTTGCCCTGTTAAGTCCCAGAGTCTCCAAACATGAAATGCCT